ATGGAATGGGACTCTCAAAAAAAAAAAAAAAAAGGAAGAAAGAGCTTGGGCTGGTTCATCTGAAAAGCTCTGGTTAAGGAATCTCAAAAAGCTCTTGTTTGAGGATTACTTGAGACCAGGAGTTCAAGACTAGCCTGGGCAACACAGTGAGACCCCGGCCTCTAAAAAAATTTTTTTTTTAAAACTATAGGCACCACGCCTATTGGGGAGGCTGAGGCAGAAGGATCAATTGAGCCCAGGAGTTCAGGGCTGCAGTGAGCAATGATCACACCACCACACTCTAGCCTGGGCGACAGAGTGAGACCCCGTCTCTTAGGAAGGAAAAAACAAAAGCCCTTGTTTGCTGAAACTGCCTCCTCCCCACCCTGCCCACAGGCCAGCGACGTGGTGCACAGGCAGTGGGTGGCAGGATGGGCAGGGGAACCAAAGCCTGCAGTGGGCTTACTGCTGTGCTTGACACTTAGGGACTGCGCTAGGGACCCGTGTGGACCTCACAATGGCAGTGCTGCCTCCCCTTTGTAGATGAGGAAGCCAGGGCTGAGACCACAGAACTTGCACAAACGACACAGCTAAATGCTCTCGAATCTCTTTTGGACCAGGAAGAGGAACACTGGAAACAACCCCAGTCCCGGCCCAGGCAGGTGAGTGCATGACACCCTCACCCCCCCAACTTCCTCCACCCCGTTGATCTACAGGGCAGAGGGCAGACACCAAGCCTCAGCTCTGGTCACTTTCCTACAGCAGCTGGCCCTGGGTGGACGGGCCCTTGACCTCATGAAGCTTTGAAACTTTTCCAGAGAAAAGCAAAGATAAAACAAGGTCTTTGCAGGGTTCTGAGGTTTCACAGCCTCCCAGAAACCACTGTCTCCCCCGCCCCCAGGTTAAGAAGCTCTGATGTGGGGAAAAACACTTGCCACCTGGCCGGGATTTTACCTGCTTTCCGTGATTTCCCTAGATTACAGGCCAGGGTGGGTCAGGGCTGCCCCATGGCAACAAAACGCTGTCACTGCATAAGCCAGTTATCCAAACCCACAGACCTGCCTCCCCCAGGCCTCTGGGGGTAGATCCCGACCCCCCTTCAGCCCCCACTCACGCTTTCTTCCGCTCAGACTTCTCCTTCTTGGGAGCTACCTGCGCCTCTGGCTGCCGGTTGGCCTGGTTCTTGCTGAGGAACAACACGTGCTGGGCCTCTTGCTCCATGCGCTGGACATAGGCCCTGTCAGACTCCCACTTCCTCTGCTTGAACTTGGGGACGGCGATGTCTGGCTCTACTCCCTTAGCGTCCTTCTCCAGTGTCTTTCTGAAGGCCACCTGGGCTGAGGACAAAGGGAGGCCTCAGAGGAAGCGTGGAGTGAGAGGCAGGAGGAAGAAGGTGGTGCCAGGCAGGTGGACCATGCTCATTTCCCCTCCCAAGGTCTCAGGAAGGAAGGACCAGGCAGCTGGACACAGCCCAACCGCAGCAGCAAAAGAGGATCTAAAATGCCCAGCTCAGGGTGCCCCTAGGGACGTGATCCCCACAGTCCACTGGTATATGTCAAAGATGTCCATCATGGCGCCATTGAAGGAGGGAGCCAGGAGCAACCCAGATGTCCATCAGTGGGTGACTGGCTGAGTAAGTTTTCTGTTCATCCTCGGACTTCACTGTGCAGCTGTTAAAGGAAGCCCACTAGAGCTAGGTGCAGAAATGTGGAAAGACCTATGAGATCTACTGTTTGTAAAATCAGGATACGAAACAAGCATAGAATGAAGGTATAGGTTTTACATCATAAACATGTGAAAATGTTCATATTACTTCTCCTGGGAAGGTCATACAAGACACTGAACAGTGACTCATGCTTCACTTCATATCCTTTTTTTTTTTCTTTAAGAGTCATCAGGGTCTTGCTATGTTGCCCTTGAGCGATCCTCCCGTCTCAGCCTCCCAAGTAGCTGGGACTATAGGCACCACCACCACATCCTGGCTCTTCACTTCACACCTTTTAAAACTGTTCAATTTTACCATGTGAGTTTATATTTTTAAAATAATTTAAGAAAAAAAATGCCAATTCAATGCAGCACGGTTTAAAATGTGCATCTTCCACCCGGGCCAGTGCACCTCCACTGCCACTCTCCTCCTCACCTCTTTATTTCCCTATCCCTTTGGCAGCCATGTAACCCCCAGTGAAAAGCCTAAGGCATAAACACAAATTGTAAAACACTGTAGTAAAATCGGTCCCACATTTGGGAAAACAAATGTGTACATACAAATACACTGGACACTATTCCCCAAGATGTGCAGAGTACTACCCCTGGGTGGCAGAGGACTACAGGTGAGCGCCCTACCCAGACTTGGAGGAGGGGGAGAGAGGCAAGCTTCTCAGAGGGGCTGATCCATTTCCTTAGCTCCCAAATCCACCCACTTCTCTCAGCCGTAGCTTCAGCACTTTGGTCTAAGGAATCATCACTTCTTGCAACAGCCTCCCTGGCCTGCCAGGTCCACTCTCACTCACTCTTATTACACAGTGACCTTTTTTCCCCTCAAACCGGTTTTCCTTAAACCGGTCCTTCCCTGCTTACCACCTCTGATGGATCTCCACTATTCTTGCAGAACAAAAAACCATCGCTCCTTAAGACAGCCCCCAGGCCCCATGGTTTCTCCCCACCCACCTCCAGGGGCTCCTTTCAAGCCTCCTCTGGAACCACAGCACCACCTGCTGCCAGCCACTGCTTTGGCCCCAGCCACGTGTGGCCTTCTTATTCCTGCACCCTTTGAGCGCTGGGTCTTGGTATATTTCCTCTGCCTGAGATGCCCTTAAATATTTGGGCAATTAGGTGGATTCAGATACAGAGTTTTACTGCCGCCCAGCACGGGCCTGCACATACCCTCTTTCTTCCTCTTCTTGTTACTGATCGGGTTTTTCATCTCCTGGCGACTCCTCATTATCTCCCGCAGACGAAAAGGGATTTCCTGTTCGTCCTGGTTTGGGGGCTTGCAATTCACTTTCTTCTTTTCTTTGCTGGGAAGGAGAACACGAGGGTGGGACCCGTCCCAAGTAAAGCTTAACCAGAATCAGAGAAACAGAAGCTGGGCCTGGACAAAGAAACTACAGAGGCCACCTCTGGTTGCTGTGGTGCCAGCCAGTCCAGGGAGCAGGACCTTTGCTCTCATCCTCACCCAGAGGCTGTCCCTGAACTGCTTCCTCGCAGGGCGCTAGGGTGAAAGGCGCTCCGAAAGCCCAGGGGGGCCTGTCACTCCCTGACCTCATCCAGAACAGCGAAGACGGGGCAGCTGGGACGTGGCAAACGCAAAGCCAGAGACTCACTCGCCTCCATTCATTCAACCGATCTTCGCGAAGCGTGGGCCGTGGGCCCAGACAGAGGAAGGACACTAAGCCCGGCCTGGGGGGCGCATGAGGGAAGCTTCCCAGGGGCGTCCCCTCCTCCCCACCTGCGCTGCCCCGGCCGCGGAGCCAAGCTCTGCTTCCCCTGCAGCTCCTGCTGCCGCCGCCGCCGCTTCTGCGGTCTCCCCGGGCTCCCGGGGCCCGCCGTCCCCACGGGCGCCGCAGCTCCACGCCCAGCACCCGCCATTTCCAAATCTGGCGCTTCCCAAGCGAAGCCACTTCCGCCCTCCTGTACGGTCCCGCCCCCAGGTCGCCACTTCCGCTTCCTGTGCCGAGCCGCACCCTCATTGGAGCGGCGTGGCTCCCTACGGCCCGCGGTTGGCCAGGCGGCCGCCACTCAGGGCGGGTTCCGGGCTTCCGGCGGCGGGCGATGCTGCGGCGGAGCGTGGCCGGGGGAGGCCGGGCGGTGGCCGCCGCGACTCGCAGCTCGGCAAGTACATGGCGCGGGGCGGAGCAGGGCGCCTTGTCACCGGCTGCGCGGCCCGACCCGGGGCACGTCCGAGAGGCCCCCGCCGGGCGCGGCTTCCGGGAGGAGCCCTGGCCCCTCGCCGTGGAGTGGCCGTCTAGCCCCTGGGCTGGCAACTGCCAGGAGCGAACGAGCACGTTCCCCTTCTACAGCACCTGCTGAGCACCTGCTGTGTGCCCTTCTAGGCTTTGGAGATTGGCCGAGAAGGAGTTAGACAAATAAGTGAAGTTTGCAGTGTGTCAGTCAGTGATCCTGAGTAAATAGAGCAGGGACGGGACCGAGGCCCGGGACAGGGAGGGGAGGCTGCCCACAGGGCCTTTTGGGGAATTAGTGTCTGAGGGTGGGATGTCCCAAGCGGCCCCGGCTTCTCATGTGACAGAGATAAAGGGTGATGCGATTAGTCAGGATGGTCTATGAGAGCAGGAGGGCAGGGCTTGGCTGTACCGGGTAGAGAGAGAGGTGGTCATCTGGCCAGGAGCTCACAGGGTTCCACCTACTCGGTCCCTGTCCGGAGTGCTGTCATTTTGCTGGAGGGGCCGAACTCCTCCCCTACATGCCGGCATCTGCTGGAGTGCACAGCCGGTGCCAGGCGCTGAGCCCAGCACTTCTCAGTAATCGTGCCATATCATACGCCATGCATTGTACAGATGGGCAGAGTGAGTCTAGAGAGGTGAGATAACTTGTCTAAGATCAGGCAGGAAGTGGGGAAGCTGAGAAGGACACAGAGCCACCTGCCCAGTGACAGGAGGGCTGACATTTCTCCAGTGCTGGGGGCAGCAAGGCCTTACCAGCTTCCTGGAGAGTCATGTGTTTATCTTCACCCGTAGGGGCCACGCTGGCTCTCCAGCTGGGTCGGCTGCCGGAGGCTCCCCAGAGGTGGCAGCAATCCTCGCAGGTACCATCCCCAGGCGCAGGCCTGCGGTGGCTGCAGAGAGTTCCGGGCAGACTATGTGAAGTTGGGCTCCCAACCCAGTGCAGGTGGCACCAAGAGTCCCAAGGCCTCCCTGCCCAAGGGGGGCCCCTCAGAACCCCAGCGCCCTCTGCCACCTGAGCTCGAGCCCCCAACAAACTGCTGCATGAGTGGCTGCCCCAACTGCGTGTGGGTGGAGTACGCAGAGGCGCTGCTGCAGCACTACCAGGATGGCGGCGAGCGGGCCCTGGCCGCCCTGGAGCAGCATGTGGCCGACGAGAACCTCAAGGCCTTCATCAGGATGGAGATCCAGCTCCGGGCAAAGCAGGGCGGCTGAGCCCCCTGGCAGGCACACCCTCGCCCTGGACGAAGACTCCTGCCAAGCAGCTTCCCCCAGGGAGCAGCGACGGCCTGCTTCTTTCACGCCCGATTTGAGCTCGTCATGTCCAGTGGGAGTAGGGGGAATTATTTATTGACTTTACCTGAAAAAAAATAAATTCTCTGTGGTGGTTTAATTGTAGGCTTTTGTATTGCTGTCTGTAAGGCTTGCGTTGTTTCTTCAAAGAAAGCAGGTTTGGGTTGGCATTGCACACCTGAGTACCTGCACCTCCCCCAGGCCTTGCCAACATGTGAGGACAAGGTAAGTCCCTATTTCCTTGAATATTCAAGCGCCAGTGACTCCTGGACCCCCTTCTGGGTCAGGTCCCAGCATCCCAGAGTCCTGGCTAAGGCCAGCTCTCGCTGTCAGCATGCAGCAGAGGCAGGGCCGTCTGACCTTGTGCAGTTGCTGGGGCAAAGCTGTTGGCAGGCACAGAAGCCTGAGGACAGCCGGGGAAGTGCCCCTTATCCAGGAGTCCTTGAAGGCAGGCTTCGGGCATTAGCTTCAGAGCCAGCTGCCCTGCCCCAGCCCGGTCTTTGGCTGCAGGTCTGGCCACCAAACCATCAGCCTCCCTGCACATTCCCCATCCCCTGCTTGTCCTATTCTGTGGACATTTTCCTACCCCACAGCCCTTGCCCCAGTAATTCCAAGCCCTGGTTATCAGTGGCCGGGACAGGGCTGGGGGTGAAGGTATCTATACCTATTTTGTCTCTTCTCATTTAACGGAAAAGCTAGGATTGTAGTGTGACCTCGTGGTGGGATTTGAGGGGATAAATGGGCCCTTCCCTTACAGCCAGCGTTTCTCATAGAGATCGAGATCTGTGGACAATGGAATAAAACCATGAAACCACAAGATACAGTGCCTTACTAATGGGTAACATGACACCCACTGGTTCAGGCTGTCAGCCGGAAGCACTCAGTTTTGTTTCTGTTCAGAGAAACACGATTATAGTGAGAAGTATCTGTTAGACCCTTGACTCTGAGCATCTAGTTTAGCCCCATCCTCATACAGATTCGGAAATGGCCCAGACAGGCCAGGTGCGCTGGCTCACGCCTGTAGTCCCACTACTCAGGAGCCTGAGGCGGGAGGATCACTTGAGGGCAGAGGTTCGAGACCAGCCTGAGCAAGAGCGAGACCCCGTCTCTACTAAAAGTAGAAAAATTAGCCGGGCACAGCGGTGGTGCCTGTAGTCCCGGCTACTCAGGGGCCTGAGGCAAGAGGATCACTTGAGCCCAAGAGTTCGAGACCAGCCTGGGCAATACAGTGAGGCCCTGTCTCTAAGAAAATAAATAAATAATTAGCCAGGTGTGGCAGCACATGCCTGTAGTCCCTGGGGAGGCTGAGGCAGGAGGATCGCTTGAGCCCAGGAGTTTGAGGTTGCTGTGAGCTAGGCTGATGCCACGGCACTCTAGCCCAGGCAAGAGAGTGAGACTCTGTCTCAAAAAAAAAAAAAAAATAGAGATGTGGAAAGAGGTTTTCTGTATTGTTCTAAAATATACGGATATATGGAGGGGTTTTTATATTTTTTCTATATTTTCTGCATGGATGTGTGTTTGTGTGTACACGTGTGTGTGTGTGTGTGTGTGTGTGTGTGTGTGTGTGTACATCCCACCCAGTGGATCTACAAAACTAACCTTATTCTGGAATTTGACGGTAGTGGCAAAGCTCCAGAGGCCATGCGGTGTGAGATGTCCCTGGAGAGAAGCCACTGGCCTTGCCCGTTGCAGCAGGGCAGGGCCCTCCTGGGTGCAAAACCAGGTGGTTGAGAATGCCAGCACGGAGTGCCAACCTTACGGACGCCACCACCTTGGTGCAGACCTTGTCCCCATTCATTCTCGGCACGGGCACTTATAGAGCACGTGTGAAGCGCCCGGCACTGGGCTGTACCCCAGGACCTGGTGGAAATCCATCTGTGTCCAGCCCCTCCAGTGTGGAAGACGGGTTGCCACGAGACTCAGCCAAACCCGAAATCATGGTCAGTGTGATGAAGGAAAGTTCTAGCTGCCAAGAGGTCCTATAAAGGAGGTGTCCTACTCTAGCCTGGGGAGTGGTCCTTGCAAGGGATGCTAGGCAGAGCTCTGACGTGAGGAGGAGGGAGCTAGGGGAGGGTGGGGGCACAGAAGGCATAGCGGGTGCAAAGGCCCTGGGGTAGGAGGGCTCGTGGGAGCACAGGGAGCATAAGGCAGGGTGAAAGCTGAGGCCACAGAAGAGGACAAGGGCCAGGCCGCGCAGGGTTTTGGGGCCACGAGGGCGGGGTCTTCAGAGGTCAGGGGGATGAAAGGGAGGGGCCAGCCAGGGCTGTTTCTTTTGTCCGGATCACACTTCCCCTCCATGTCCCGCCCCAGCTGCCAAGTGTCCTTCCTTCAGGTCCTTGACTGCACCTGAGCCCCTTCTCCCCACCCCCTCGGGGCCCACCAATCTCATCAGCGTGACCTCAGCGGCCAAAGTCCTAATCAGCTCACCAGCGGAGGGATAAAGGCTGGGCCGGCTCCCTGCTGCGGGAGGTCCAGCCATTCGCACCATGGCTCCCTGAGACCTGCCCAGCACCGGGTGAGTAGTGACCAGCCCCGCTGCCTGTCCTGGCAGCACTTCCTCAAGTGCGTTAGTGAGAGCATCTGCCACCCGCCCGGGGGAGGGAGCCGATGGGCTTTTACTACCGTGGCTGAGGTTCTGGGTCTGCAGAAGGCCACTTACCACCCTGTCTGTCAGAGAGGTCGCCCAGCCAAATCTCCTCTGCTCCCCCATGTTAAACAGGGCTGTTATCCCCAAGGCCAGCGATGGTCTGGGAGCCTCAGGCCACATGTGCTCGGCTGATTTGAGTAGGCACCAGTCACAGGCTGGGCTGGCACAGGGCCGCTCGGGCAGCAGTTTCCATGTGAGGTGTCTGATGCTTGGAGCGCCATCGGGGCCCACAGCTGCCTGCAGCAACCCAGGGCTGGGGGCTGGAGAAGCGGCACCGTCTGGGTGTGAGGGGTGGGTGCCGTGGGGTCTGAGCAGTCAGGACCGCCGGGCTCCCGAGCCCTGATTCTCCCAGGCTGAACCTTAGGGAGAGAGGGCAGCATGGTGGGGCCTACCCCATCCCAGGTACCCCGGCACCCACTGCAGAGCCTTCCTCCCCAGAACGGGGCCACCTGTCCTTGCCTCCTGGTCAGTCTCAGGGCTGGAGACCTTGCTCGGCCCATGGCTGGAGCCAGGTATCCCAGCCTGCAAGACCAGGGGGTAGGAAAGGGAACCCCAAGAGGTGGTTCCTGGGGTGTCCAGTGGCGGGTGCAGCCCCTCCTGTCCATGCTATGTGCTTAGCGTCAGAACCTTCTGGTAGAGTGTAGGGCTTACAGCAGCTCCCTGGCGGATTAGGAGCCTCCCTCCGGTGCTAATAGGCTTAGAGGAAGCTGATCCGCCTTTGGCCAAGGTCACTGGGGCTTAGGGCATCTGGGAGAGGTTCTAGGGAGAGGAGGAGGAGAGGTCACCTGTGCAGTGGGTGCAAGGACACTGGCTTCACCCAGAGCAGCAAGGCCACGCCCATACCTGGCAGGTGACCCTACGCCCAGAGCAGGCTGTGGCACAGCAAGGTCCCAGGGATTTGCCCAGCAGAGGGAAGACACCCCAGCCCCCAGCCTGAGCTTGTCCCTCTGTGCAAAGTGCTGGGAGGGTGGGTGCTGCCCAGCCGGCACAGCGTCTCATTTGGAGACAGGCCCCTCCCGAGGCGCCCCTGCCTCCATGTCTCGTGGTCACTATCCGTCAGCACCGCCAGGTGCCCAGCATGGCACCGAGAGGCACTGGGATCCCTCCCGGGACGGGGGAAGGGTCCCGACAGCACCCAGGCCCCAAGGGACAGACAGCAGGCCCAAACAATAACACACAGATAAGATGAGCAAAGTCACACGAGCACACTGATGAAACCGGAATTTGGGATGATACATGACAAGAAGAATTAAGTCAGGGCCTGGGGACACCACGTGACCTTGGGGGTGGGGGTCAGGGAAGGTAAAAGGAAGGCCAGGGAGGCGGGGCAGGGGCTCACTGGGGTCCCATCCCAGTCCCAGCAGGAGCCCCCAGAGGGCTTTCAACAGAGTGATCGGTTGGACTCAGACTCCACTCGCGCTACCTTGGGGTGGCGACTGCAGGGGAAGGGGCAGGAGGGTGCAGGCATCGGGTCATCAGCGGCCACCCGAAAGGGGAGGTGGTGAGGGGTCCTGGTGCAGGACGTGTTATGGGGCCGGAGGACGGGTCTGGTGTGGACTGGCCATGCGGGACGCAGGGGAGAAGCCTGGTTTCGTGTGGCCAGTGGCGGTCGGGCGTCAACGAGGAAGACAGGGCCGGGCGGGGGCAACGAGGAGCCAGGTGGGCCCAGGTGGAGCTGGCAGGCTGGCTGCCCGCCTCACACTGCAGGGTGGCAGGGCTGGGGCTCCTGTCTCAGCTCCTCTGCTCTGGTGGGTTGAGACCCCTGTGGGGAGTTGGAAGCGGGGGGCTGACTGGGACCCTGGTCTGCCTGCAGCCGGCAGCGTGAGACAGCCCAGAAGCCAGGTGTCCCCACAGCACCTCTACCAGCCTCGCCATGAACCTGGAGCCGCCCAAAGCCGAATTCCGGTCGGCCACCAGGGTGGTCGGAGGACCTGTCACCCCCAGGAAAGGGCCCCCCAAATTTAAGCAGCGACAAACCAGGCAGTTCAAGAGCAAGCCCCCCAAGAAAGGCGTCCAAGGGTGAGTAGAGCCGGGGGAGGGGAGCCCCAGGCTGCACAGGAGGGGGTGCTGGGACGGGCTTGGGCCACTTTCCTGGCTGAGGGTGGTGCCATTCCCATACCTGGAGGAAGAGGAAGGGGAGCTGGGGGTCCTGTCGCCCACTGCAAATGCTGCTGCCAAATATGTCTGGAAAACAAACCTACTCCCCCGGAGACCCAGCCACGGAACACTGCACTGAGGCGTGTCCACAAACCCCGCACTGCCACGCACACGTGCACACTCGCCGACACGCCGCCCTCTCGGAAAACTACACTCAAATGTGCGCACCTCCCACGGCCCTCTGTGCCCCTCCACGGGGCTGTGCACATCTGGGTTGGGCCCCCTTTTCTGGGCCTCGGCCCCGTGATTTTCTGGGCAGCAGATTCACCCTGTGTCTATGGAAGGAAACCCCCTCAGGCCCAGCCAAGGGGCGGAGGTTGGGGAGGACGTGGGTCTCTCCCCCTGGGCCCTAGGAGGGCTGGGTCCCGCCTCAGGTCTTGGGCAGGCGGGAGCTAGGGCCAGGCCCAGCCACCATCCCTGACCACTCCTGTCTCGCAGGTTTGGGGACGACATCCCTGGAATGGAAGGCCTGGGAACAGGTATGACTGCCCCTCATGCCACCCAAGGGTCTGCCCACCTCCCCACCAGAGCCCCCGGAGTCCCATACAGCCCCAGCCTCCCTGCTATTTACTCAGGACAGGGGTGCAACTTCAGATCCCACCACCTGGGGTTGTTCCCCATTCGGCAGGTTCCCCAGGTGAGGGGCGGGTCCGCCAGGTGAGGGGCAGGTCCTGGGGACAGCACAGAACCCCTGCCGCCCCTCCCCCTTCAGCAGGGCCCACCCTCTTCTGGTCCCTCCCCTGGGCCTGCTGCGCCCTCTCTTCCCTTGCAGCTAGTGTGTCCCAGACGAGGCCTCCCTAGGGGTGTGGGAGACAGGGTCGCAGGGGATGGGGGGCCGAGGCGTGGGCTCCCCACCCTGACCCAGGGCCCCCTTCTCCTGCAGACATCACGGTCATCTGCCCTTGGGAGGCCTTCAACCACTTGGAGCTGCACGAGCTGGCCCAGTATGGCATCATCTAGTGCCAGAGCCCTACCCAGGGTCCCAGGCCCCTCGCCCCCACTGCCCACTGCACTCTGAACCCTGCTCAGGATTCTTGCCGAGGAGATCCAACCCCCACAGCCCAGATTGCACCTGGACACCAGGGTGGGGGTGTGGGCCAGCCCCCAGGAGACCACCACCTGCCCCCAGAACGCCCCCTCGGGGCTGGCCAGGCCCTGCTTAACTTCCAGAGACACCGGCCACCCAGAGGTCTGCCCTCAGAGGGTCTGGGAGTCACCCACGGCAGGCAGAGGGGGAGGTAGACCCCAGCCCATGAGCCTGCTGGACCACAGACCGTCCCCTCCTCATGGCTGGACACCCCAGCCACCTGTCTTGCCTGTTTGGGGGTGAGGAGAAGCTCCCCCTCCCTGCACTGGGGTGGACATGGTGGGTGGCAGGAGTCCTGGGCGCAGGCGGCCAAAAGATGAGGCCCGTGCACACCCATCGCAGCAGCCGGGAGCTCCTCCTTTCAGCTCGGCCCACCCTGCTGTCCCTCTTTCAAAATAAAATCAGTGTGCCCTGCTCGGCCAGGGTGTGTTTGTGCATGGGAGCAGGGCCCTCGGGAGAGGCTTCAGCAGCGCCTGAGCGCGGGGTGGGGTGCAGGGTGGTGGGCGGGGCAGGAGGGCCGGCAGCTGGGAGGGAAGACGGCCCAGGATCACACTCTCCCAGAGCTGCTGTGTGTCCCTGGGGCCCGCAGAGTCAGGCCACACCAGGGCCCATTGTCAGCAAAATGTGCAGGTGGCTGGAGCAGCCCTCCTTCTCCCCACCTCACAGGGGAGGAAACTGAGGCACGGAAAGACTGGGAAACTCACCCAGATGCCCCACCAGTCCATCCTTAGCGCCCACCAAAGCTGGGTGTGCCCATCCGTGACCTGGGGATTCCACTGGCCACCCCACACCCTGGGGAAGCAAGCACACACCTGTGCACACCTGCGCACACCTGTGCAAACCTCCCCAGCCTGGGGGCCCTCACGCTGGGCGCTGTGCACGTGGTTCCGGCGAACGGGAGGCTATTCACGCAGTGACCTGTCTGGGAAGGGCCTCTGGGATTCCACTGCGTGAAAGAAGCGGCCAGGCTGACCCTGGAGCGGGTTTGAGCAGGGGGCAAACCCGACGAGACCTGCGGTGGTTCCAGGCGTCCAGGTAGGGAACTGAAGAGGGAAGAATTCCTCACGCTGTCCTCTGAGGGTCGTGTGCTTCACCGTATGAAGGATACACTTTAATGAAATATTTACCGCCCCCAGAACGCACTCTGGAGGGAGAGGCCTGGACCTCACCCCCAACCACCACAAAACCAGAAGGGGGAGGTGGCCCAGGGGAGGAGGTGGGGGGCTCAGGCCAGGTTAAGGGCCAGGCTCAGGGCAGGTTCTGCCCCAGGATTCGCTCCATGAGCTCCCACGTGTTCTTCCTGCCAGCCAGATGGCTTTGCCTGGCCCTCAGTGGGAGGCAGGCGTGGCCAGACACTCAGACCAAGCCAGCGGGTAGTGGCAGCTTAGGTGGGTCTGGAAGCCGCCCACCTGCGGACAGCAAGGGCCCGAATCAGCCAGGTGGCCAGCAGGAGCTCCGCCCCCTGGACCCCTGTGGCCACTATCACGGAGGTTCCCACTGCTGGGATTTGCCCACGCAGCCACTGCCGCAGCGGGGCGCCGCAGCCCTCCAGGTACACCAGTCTCCCAGCTGCGGCAGCATCCAGGCCCAGGGCCCCGAAGCCGCACTGGTCATTGATGGAGGCTCCATCTTCTCGGGGGTCAATGCAGCAGGAGGCAGGAAGGCTGCAGGCCTGCACCCCGGGAGAGCTGCAGTTGAAGTACCTGCGAGGGCGCACGGGGGTCAGCTCTGGGGTGGAAAGTCTGCTCTTCTGGGGCCGGGCGCTGAGTCCAGTGTCCCCACCCGTCTCTGAACTTCCATGGCCACATATGTTCGTGCGTACACACAAGCACGCACGCACGCACTTGCACATGCCACACAAGCATTCATGTACACACACAGATGTACACACATACATGTGTGCACACAAACGTGCACGCACAGACACACACACAACAGCCAGCTTTCTGTGATTTATCCCTGTGTGTGCAGCCCTCTGCGTTTGCAGGCGGACGAAGTAGCTGCCTGGGCTAGAAGGGAAATGTTTACTGAGATGGCTGAAGGGGAGGCAAGTTTGAAGAGGGGCCGGGCACAGTGGCCCACACCTCTAATCCCAGCACTTTGGGAGGCCAAGGTGGGAGGATTGCTTGAGCTCAGGAGTTCAAGACCAGCCTGAGCAAGAATGAGACCCCATCTCTACTAAAAAAATAGAAAGAAATTTGGCTGGGCAGCTAAAAATATAAAAAAAAAAAAATTAGCTGGGCATGGTGGCACATTCCTGTAGTCCCAGCTAGTCGGGAGGCTGAGGCAGGAGGATCGCTTGAGCCCAGGAGTTTGAGGTTGCTGTGAGCTAGGCTGATGCCACGGCACTCTACCAGGCAACAGAGCAAGACTCTGTCTCAAAAACAACAACAACAAAAAGAAAAACAGAAAAACAAAGTGGCTTTCTAAGGCTGCTGGCTCAGCCTCTGCAAGGGCCTCCTGTGCCCGCGTGGCCTTGGCGGGAGGGAGCAGTCTCCCTGGAGCTCTCGGGAGGCCTGGCCTGGGTGCGGGTCAGCCAGAAGGACTGATGTGGGCCCTGAGCCCGTGGACGAGGGACAGCAAGTGCCCTGCACTTCATACCTCACGTGTGTGCGTGCATATGTGTAAGGGGTCTGTGTCGGTGAGTACACGTGTCAACATGTTTGTGTGTCAGTGTTTGAGGGTGAGGCTGTGTTTCGTGTGCGCACGTGAGTGTGCATGTAAGTGCATACGCACAAGTGTGTAGGTGTGAGCGCACACACGCGGAACCTGTGAGCATGTGCGATGTGTCGGTGTGTACGGGTAAGTGTGCATGCGTGTGTGAGCACGTGCGTGTGAGCCAGTACATACGAGTGTGTGTACGCACACACGTGACCTGTGTGTGGCCAGCCTCCCCTCCAGCCCCAGCGCCCCTCACCTGGGACTCACAGGTTCTGCTGCCAGTCCTGGTAGGACACCACCCCGCAGCACTGCAGCCCGAGCTGGACTTGGTCGAGGAGGAAGCCCAGGTCCAGGTCGTCCTGGTAGTGGGTGATGGCCACACGCAGGGCGTGCTCTAGGCCATCCTGCAGCGGGCCCCAGAGGGCTGCCGCCAGGGCCGCTGCCATGGCCTGGAGCACCAGGAAGGCGAGGATGCTCCCGCAGAAGCAGCGCAGCAGGCAGCTGTTCTCACAGAGGGCACCCACGCAGCCGGCCAGGCTCACCGCGCTGACCGCCAGCCCCCCCAGCACCAGCCCCAGCATGGGGTCCGCAGGAAGAGGCCTCCCCCACCCACTCCCCAGAGACCCCTTGACGGCCAGGCCCCAGAGCCCAGCCGCGAGGGCCAACAGGCCCAGCAGGGAGAAGAGGAAGTTGGACAGGAAGATCAGATACTTGATGCAGCTGCTCCCCGCTGGGAGGGGCGGCGCTGGGTCTCCTGTCCAGGCCCCGTCCTTGGTCACAGGAGGGTAGCAGCTGCAGCCCCAGGCCCCTGCCTGGCCCTCCCGAGGTGCTGGATCTGGGTGGCTTGGGAGGGGTGGACTGCTCACAGAGAGGGGTGGCTTCTGGCCTGTGGTGTCCTGCAGAGGGAAGAGGTACGGGTGGGGGAGACCCCCAGGTGAGACCTCAGTCACTCAGACTCCATGATAATCGGCCAGGGCTGCAACCTCACCAGCAAGGGCTTGGGGGAGAACAGGCAGAGCCCACAGGGATGTGGGAATGCGGAAGGGGAGGCTCAGAGACGCGGACAGCCGGCGGTGGGGGCCTTTGGGCTTGTCTTGCTCAACTGGGCACCAGGAGGGACAATGAGGTCCTAGCTCTGCCGCTTACCGACGTGTGGGCCCAGCCTTTAGCACGGGCGGTGGCCACACCCTTGTGCAGGCCAGGGTGAAGACTCGGCAGGGTGGTGCCCAGTGAATGCCGACCGACCTACAGGTTGGGCCCCTGACCCTCCCCCGGTGCAGGCACATGGCAGGCAGGCTGCTTCCCCCGAGTGTGAAACGGCTCTGTCTGGAGCAGCTTGTGCCTGCCTGCGGCACGGACCTTGGGCTGTCCCAGGGAGCTTCCCCACCCAGGCAGGAGGAGGATGCCCACCAGGCAGACGGCCAGCCCACGAAGCTGCCTTCCTGCCCAGCCTCTGAAAGCAGCCGACGTCCTGGGGTCTGTCCAGTCAGCCTGGCTGGCAGCACCTGCACGGAGCGTGACTCTGTGCCGGGCCCCGCCCGACAGGCTCCCAGGGAGAAGTGCGGCCGATGCCCAGGGGCACCAGCTACGTGAGGCAGGGCCTTCCAAGGGCACCACTCTGCGCTCTAGCAAGATGCCAGCCAAGTAGACGGGTGTGGGAGGGGCCTTCCGGTCTGTCTCTGTCGGGGAAGGGGCAACCCCATGGTGCCCGGCTTTGCCAGTGACAAGTTTGGTTAAAGGGTGGAACTAAGACTCTTTGGCCAGGTGCCTCTGCAGGACCCCATTGCAATCCAGTTTTACCGGGAAGAAGCTGTCCCTCCGCCCCCGTCTGTCTGACTCTGCAGCCAGGGCTCGTTCACTCTGAACGTGGAACGGAGGACAGGAAGGGGATTTGGCAGCCCCCGGACCTCAGCATGTCAGTAGGAGCAAAGGACAGGTTGCAGGTGCCATGTTGGCCAGACTGGGGCTGTCGGAGGCCAGGAGTGTCCACAACTGGCTGTGAGGGACGTTGCCTTCACCCCTGCCTGCACCCTGAGCCGGAGGTTGCCCCCCAGATTGTAGGGAGACCCGCCAGATCCCCTGACCAGAGGCCAGCATGGGGCTGAGAGAACTGCAGAGCGGGGAAGGGTGGCGCCTAATTAGTAAGGCCCCCAGCCGCAAGCGTGGCAGCTCCTCCGAGGGCCTCCGTGCAGTGGCCAGTGCCAGGACACAACAAGGCTTGGGTTGGTAGCAGGGGCGTCGCGTGGGACTTCAGGGCTGGGGAACATCTCCAAGCCTGGGATGAGGCCCCTGGGCGCTGTCTTACCTGGGGCAGCAAGGGGCTTCTTTCCCCCTCCTCCATCCTCGACGCCGGGAGGGGAAGCCCTCGGCACAGGCACTAGGACAGGTGCGCTGGTCCTTCTGCGGATGGGCCGCGGGGCTGGCGCTGACTGTGTCTCTGAGCTGCTCTGAACTGTGCAACCCAGAGAGCAGGGGAGCTGTGAGCCCCACCCAGATGCCAAAGTCACGGTTGGATCATGTGAGGAGTCACATTTTAGGGCTTAAGCTTCTGCTTGTTCAGACACAGACAATCTCTTTTCTTGGCTCCGAATTCTTGGCTTCGGCTCTGTGGCTCCCTGAGCTCTGCGCAGGAGCAGCTCTGGCAGGGCTGTGCGGGCGCTGGCCTCGTGGCCTTCTCTGCACGGCCCCAGTGTGGGCTCCAGCCTTGCGGGCTCAGGGGCTGCTCCCTCAGGCCCCCAGGGGATCAGAGCCCCGCAATTTGGTTCAAGATAACAATCCCAGGAGACCCACCGGCAGCCCACGTGCCAATTTATTCCCATGGTTTATTCACTGCGAGAGTGAAACACCACGTCCACCTGCCACATCTCATCCTTCCTGGTGTTAAGGTGCCTGGGCTGGGGGCTCCCCTCCCCTCTCAGCTTCTCAGGAGCAGGACTTTACTGCAGTCACCATTGCATCCTGGACAGACATGTGTCCCCGGGCTCTCTAATGCCGGACCCCCACCCACCACCAATTCTGTGCCACCCTGGGCACGTGCCCTCCCCAGCCCTCCCTGGCTCCACTTGGGATATGCATGTGAGGTGTAGATGTGTATGTCGAAGTTGCTGTGGGCCTACAGGATCTCTGGATGTC